TTTTTTCTAACCTTTACATGTGAGGAAAGCCCTCAGCTGAATTTCCTTTTATCGCAGAGATAGAAAGAACCTTTCTCACAAGGCGGAGACAAGCTCGTCTAGCCAGACTAGCCTCCAATGAAGAACATTCAATTCATACATACTCAAGTTCAGAATCAAAACCCGAAACTATGTGTGAAAATCCACCACCACCAGAGAGACTTCTTGGGGACTACGGAGGAGAAAATGCTCCAACAGGTCGGTTGACTATTGTGAATCAACCGGTTACTGTTGTAAACTTTTAGCTGCACCCTTCAACAATCCGAAAACTTGAGAACATATCTTTCACTGGAAATATCAATGAAGACGCCAACAAACACTTCCAGAGATTCATCACCATGAGCACTACTTTGAAAATTAAGGGGCACTCTGAAGAGGCAAAGAAATTGAGAATGTTTCCATTCACGTTGTATGAAGATGCTGAAGAGTGATTTTACTCATTGTCTGCTGGAAGTATTACCACTTGGGAACAAATGGAGAAGACTTTTCTTGATGAATACTTTCCTACTTCTGTTTACATTCGCAAAAGATATGAAATCGTGAATTTTAAGTAGAAAGAAGGAGAGTTACTAGGTGGTGCTTACAAGAGGTTCAAGAGGTTATTGGCATCTTGTCCCACTCAATATGGATCAAACTGAGAAAATGCAGATATTTGTCAATGGCCTCCGAATGAAGACAAATTTTGAAGTTGAAGTTACAGAAAAATTAGGTAAGAATTTGGTACCAACAGAAATTCGTGTTCATTTTTTAGTGTTAGTTCAAGTTATTTACATATTTGAAATCGTGATGAAATTTCTAACAAGTTTGATGTTTACATTTTCTAAAATGATTGAGAAATGAGTAAGTTTAAAAATTCAAAAACATGGTGTTGTTTCTGACGCGAGGAAGAAGATGAAGTTATATCCAGGATTGAGTTTGTAATATATTTAGTAATTGTTGCCTTAACCAACAAATGTATCACCACCCCAGTGGTTAAAGTGTGCGTCTTTTACCCTTAGGACCTGGGTTCGAGCCCCAACGTCCGTTTTGTCATTTTTTCACATTATTTTTCCATTTTCAACGCGCTTGGGCCTTCCCCTCTTGGGCCTTTCTCCTTTTTTTATTTATTTTTGCCTTCCTCTCATCCCCCAATCTGCTTACAACCACGTGGGCCCATAACTTTTTTTTATTTTATTGATTTATTTCCCGATTTCAAACAAAAATGTTTTGGGCCTGGACCTTTTGACTACTTTCACACTCATTTTTATTTCAGCACCTAGACCCCAACATTTTTTATATTTTTATATTTTCTTTATTTATTTTTTATTTAATAAAAATATAAAATATATTTTCTTAAATAATTAGACTCAAAATTTTCTAATTTTTATTTTTACTTTATTTATTGTTATAAATAAAACACTAAAAATATTTTTCTTAACTAATTAATCTCTTTTTAGAATTAAAAATAATTAGACTTATTTTTTAAATTCAATTTCCTTTTTAATTAAATTAGACTTTAGATTTTGTTAAATATTTAATTAATTTCTCTTGTAAATTAATTAGTTTAATTAAAACTTTTTCCATAAAAAGCCATAAAAACAATCTCCTTTCTCTTTACATTGTTCTTGCATATTTTATTATTTCGCACTATTATTTATATTCAATGGTTTGTAATAGTAATTAGGGTTTATTTTACTTGTCATCCCCATTTGTAAATTTGTAACCCCCCTCTATTCCCAAAGCATTGTAATAGCGTAGAACCTTTAATTTCCGCAATTTATCGCTTTTCATATTATTGTTAGTAATTAGGGTTTGTATGGCAAGATCTTAAAATCAATACTAGACAATCCTAATTCAAGATAAAATATTTGAAAACAACACACTTTGTACATATGTACCTCTAGGGTAACCCATACTTGTTGCCTCGGATGAAAACAGTCATGTCCCTCGAACATGAGATGTTTTAACAAAAGACCCTCGATTATAAGATCGTAGTCCCTCGATGACCCTTCGAGTTGCCTTCGGTAAACGATCTTAGTCCCTTACAAAAATTGCTAAAATATATTACAAGTTGCCTTCTATGACTGTACGATGGCCCACGCCCGTCCCTCACATCCAATGGCATGGCTCTCTACCCACTAATGATAGACAAACACTATCTAAAGGAGGAGGAAAAGAACAAAGACTCTTTGAGTAGGTAGATTGTTTGTAATTGCTTGCTCACAAACAAAACCATTTACACCTCACACTTTCAAAACACTTTTCTAAACAAACATTTTGTGTACATTCTCAACGATACGAGAATCATTACAAAATTGCCTTACATTGACATTTTCAAAACATTCCCTTTTCAATAAATATTTTCAAAACCAACAATTTTTACATTCTCAACAATACGAGAATCATTGCAAAGTTTTCCAACCTTAGGCGTTTTCAAAATATTTTCAAACTTACACAAACACAAAGCATTTCAAAGTAAGCTAGCAATTAAGAGCCCGTAGATAACTACGGATGAAAAGGGTGCTAACACCTTCTCTTTTCATAACCCATCCCCCGAACTCAAGAAAAATTCTCAAAAGGTCTTTCCTGTTCTTTTCACCCTTTCCTTTATTGTATAAAAGAAAAGTCGGTGGCGAATCTTGCTATCTGCAACATTTACGATCAAACACAAAACACTCAAGTCAGTTCTCCCATCACATCACATTGCCCAAACCAAATATGCAAGACTTCTATGCTCAATCAACCTGAAAGAGACTTATTTGCCTAAACCAATTGTTCATGACATCCTTGCTCAATCAACCTAAAAGATACTTCATTGCCTAAACCAATTGTTCAAGACTTCATTTCTCAATCAAACTGAAAGATACTTCCTTGCTCAAACACTCAACCTAACACTTCTTTGCTCAAACACTCAATTTAAGGCTTTTACAAATATTAAACAAACTATTTAGGATTACAACAAGATGTACCATATATTCAATCAGATGTACAAATAATACAACACACACACAAACACCTTGATACTTGAGATTTCTAAGATATACAAGTGTAAGAACCTCTCAAGTCTATGTGCAATATAATAATTATAAATTATAACTCGGAGTGAGAGAAAGTTCTTGCAATATTCTGATTTCTATTGTTGTTCTTGTTGTATTATTATTGTTACTTATTTTGAATATTTAGCTCCTTATATAGAGGAAATAAAAGAGATGTTGGAATCTTGCTTGTACAAGTGTCTTTGCTGAAGAAGCGGTTTCCAAGAGAGAGACGTTGGAGTTGGTACGATGAGGATCTTCATCTTTTGAATAATTGTTTTATCCACTGTGTCTTTCCCAAGTAAGGCATCCACAAGCATGGGATAGTAGACTGAAGAAATCATATCATTTAGCCTTACGGTAAAACCTATTGTTGACTTGCTCCATAATTCTAGCCATTGACAAGATGAAGTTGCTTTTGCATATAGTACGTACATAAGAGCTTTGTATTGTGTTTCCAACAAAGCGCTTAAAGTTCTGTTTGAATCATCAGAGGCAAAGTCAATGTAGCACTGAAGTTTCATTTGAACATCAGAGACTAGAATAATATGGCACAGAGGTCTTATATGAAATTCAGATTCTAGTCCATTAGAATCTGGATTTACTTGCCTCTTCTTTACAAGCCATTAGCTGGGTCAGAACCTAGTTAATTATAAGCTTAATGATCCTACACACTTAATCAAACATTAGTATACCTATTGTTCTTTAAGTACTTTTGTTATCAATAAAATCCAGGAAGTATGAGCTCAAAGACTATTAACTGATTTTATTCCAACATTTGTTGTATATACCTAAGAATTTTGTTTAGGCACTCATGTATATCATGTGTCATATGACGTGTTTTGAGTATTTTGGAGAAGTATATATATATGATGCAATCATGCATTTATGTTGAATCAGTACCAATTAACAATGTATATGATATTATTCTAGACGTATATTATATGTGGCTGTTACAATATTCAACAAGAACCTAATACTTTGTTGACTAGAATCTTGAGAGAAACCATGAAAATTTTCTTCATTCACAAACACATCATCTCCTTGAATTAACCTTGTGAAAAACTTCCTAGAATGTTAAGATTGTGTGAGTTTTCAGTTATGTTGTGTGAGATCCTTTAGATTCTATTCATCATCTTCAACCTTATACCAAGATCATTGAAGATCTTGAGTATTAGCAGTTGAGTAATCTGCATCAACATAAAGGATTATTGTTTTAGATCTGTGTTAGGTAAAGCATTGGGTTATTAGTTTTCAGGTTGATGATAATTCGTTATATTAAAATACTTATATCATAAACTTTAAAAATAGTGGAAGACATTACCATTTTCAATGGTTAAATCATTGAAGAGTGGAGTAGGCATAACGGGGACGAACTTCTGAACCACTAAATATCCAATATAGATTTTTTATTTCTCAATCTCTTTTAAATTTCTGCATATTATCATGTATGTTAGGTATTATCCATTATTAGAACGTCATCTAGAATTAGATATTGTTTATAGTGTTTTATCATATAAGTGTTAGTCTGAGATGCATCTAATTCACTAAACATTCTCCATTTCAATTAAGATTGTATTGTCCCTAAATTGCTGGATTTAAATTACTTGTCAAAGCAATTTCATTTGCTTTAGTTGTTTATGATATTTATTGAATGATTCTTCTTATGAAGACAATAAAACATATAACTTTTGAATCCATTCATTTTATTATCTGCATCCTTCTATCAAGTTTTGCTTCGGTACTTTAAACTCTTATTTTCTAAATAAAAATGTTTTTAAAATCTCATCACAATCGTCTCTCTCCCAGGCTCTTCTTTCTCTAACTTCAAAATCTCATCAGTCTCTCTCCCACTCAGGAAATCAAAACTGCTCCAGGAAGTATCAGAGTCAATAGTCGCGGTCTTACAAGTTCTCTTTTTTTTTTCTTCACTTTTAAGCTCGATTTTCAATGTGGAATCGTTGTTGTGTTGTTATTCATTATTGTTGCATGTTGTGATTTATGAATTAGTGAAGAATTGTTGTTGAATTTATCGTTTCGCGCTATGCACACCAAGTGTTCGGTGAAATGCCTGAAGCATGTTCTTTTGTTTTTCCGTCTTGAAATTTCTTGGTTGCAGGTCCGATTTGCTGTTATTGTGTTGTGATCGATTGTTGTTGGCAAATTCATAGAGAATTGGCGTCGTATCAATCGTTTAATATCTTGCACTCCAAGTGCTCAACGAAATGCGCACCAAGTGAGAGATGATGAAGTTTGTTGTGTTAAAGGATGGATTGATGAGCATACATTAGCCCCTAGTAAACCAGATTCCTGTGTTGCAGTTACTGTCACAAAGCTTAACCAAATGGGCAACCAGGAACACTGTGAATGGTTGGTGAGTTTCATTACAAAAACTTTGACTCAAAACTTATCATATATTATGATGTGTTTAATTGTCCTCTTCCTTAATTATAGAGAATAATCAACAATCTAAACATATTTTTGTTACAACTTCAGCCCACCTGTTTGTTGCTACAGCTTCGGCCATAAAATTCTGCACCAATCATTCCTTTAGATGAAAATGAGATATCCATATATTAAATAAGCATATAGTGTTCCTGTTAATACAAATTATTATCATTCATCAAATTGTTAAAGTATTAAATAAGCATATTGTTAAGGTGCATTGTGTTTTTAGTTCTACTTTTGAAAAAGTCAATTGATTCATCAAATTGATAAAGTAATATATCTTAAGTTGTGATATGTCTTTAGTTCCAAAATTTCTCACATCCCTTTCATACAAATAGAAGCCCAAGTCACAATATGAGCCATTGTAAAGTAAGAGCTGCACTCTCATTTAAGGTAATCAAAAATAATTTCTCATTTATACATGTTCATTTGTTATTCACAATCCAAAGAGATAATTTCCCAACTTCCACATTGATGGATGGAGCAGAATAAGAGGGGATTGATTTATAAGAAACTACAACTATTATTCCAATAGTGTAGAATAATTTCTAAGGCATGTTTGGAAACTTGTTTCTTTTCAGGAGACATCTAAGTGGATAAAAATAAAATCAACTCACTTCATGGAGGCTTCAAAGCTTCTAATATCTTAATTGATTATGTATATGCTTTATTTTATCTAACAAACTTACAAATGAAAAGATTACTAGTTAGATCACACTTCAAAACTTTCAAAAAATCATTTTTGTCCGGACTTTATAATTTTTTTGACTTCGCCATTAACTTCACCCTTTTAAAATAGTTGAATGACACAACATTAACTTCACCCTTTTAAAATAGTTGAATAATAGTTGAATGACACAACATTTTAGTAAGTCATGATTTTATAATCAATCATTTAATTTCTTATATAAATACTATAATATGTAAATCAATTAAATAATTTTACGCATCTTTATCATATTTATTTTTATACATTTCATAAATTAATAGTTCAATATTTATATATATACATTTCACAAATTAAAAAAGTCATATTGTTTAGAGCTATTAGTAATTTAGTATCAATTAACCTATTTCTCTACTGCCTTTTAATGTGGATAGCAAAATGTAAAATAACAATTATGTTGAGAAAAAATAATTATGTGAACATGTCATACAATATACTTCCTTCATTCATTATTATAAATAAATATTTTCTTTTTAAATTTATTGAGTAATGAATATATCTAATTTATATAAAATATTAAATATATTTATTATTCAATAAATTTAAAAAGACAATCTTTACTTATAATAATAATAACCAGAATGGTATAATTGAAAGTTGAATTATATTACGTTAAACTATTAGGTCTATGTTAATTTCAGCATCATACGATGAAACTGCGAATAGTTTCAAGCAGACACAGTCATCAAATACATGATAGCGACGGCCTGACGGGTAGATACATCACTAGTTACTGCATGCATGATGTATATTCTAGACCTACCACTTGTATAAGATTAAGAAATCTAGTTGGCATATTCCCAAATGATTGAGAATATTATGATAATTATGTTCTTTTATCAAATTTTTAATTTATTATTTATGTGGCTTGAGGTCACCGCAGACATATATGTGCAAATTTGTGCGGAAAGAATTGAGAGGGAAAAGTTAGTTGAGAGGGAGAAATTATTTGTGGTAGAAGACATAGATAAACGAGAGGACAAAAACAGGATATAATTAATATGAGCTATATGGATCGGGACAAGAGCAAGAGAGCGTTTCCATATCTTGTTGTTTAGAGTCTTATGAGAGAAACATTATCGAAGAGTAATTTTTAAGACTGTTCAAAAAGTTTGGAGAGGAAGAGACGAGAGAATTTTGAAAAAAATATTAAATAAAAAGAATAGAAAAATTTAAATAGAGATGGTTTTGGAAATTTAATTTTATTCAAAAGTTATTTTTTTTTTAATTTGAAAAATTAAAAGATTGTATTGAATATAGGGTTTAAAGAGTTTTTAAAATGTTTAGATTAATTATTCAAATATAAATAATGTTGTTACAGTATTTTAAAAATATGTTAATGATAAAAAATATTTTATCAATCTAAAAATAAAAAATATTAAATAAATTTTTATATTTCTTAAAAATTATTTTTTGAAGTCTTTCTTTTTCCTCCCAAACAAAACTTAAAATTTTTTATTTAAAATTTTTTATTTAATTATTTAGTGTCTTAGACCGGATCCATTTTACTATTTTGGAAAACAAAAATATTTAAAAGATAAAATTAGGATATCAGATAAACTTAAAAAATTATAAAAAAAATAACTTTATTTGTTTATTTAATACTTAAATCATTGAATAATGTCTCAAGCCGGCCCAAATCTAAAGATGATTACTTAATTGTTAGGCACACTTTGAAGTATTTTGATAGTAATTGTATTATTGATCCAAGTCACCCGTGCATTGTTTGTCATTAGATCTGATCGAACAATATATCTTATGTTGAGATAGACAGTAGCAATTTAAATAATTTATTATATATAAATTTCGAGATTCGATATTTTAAGTATTATCTCATTTTCACTCTTAAATTACATTTATAAAACATCACTGACTTGTACGTTAAAGTGTTAATCTTGTAGGTCTTCTCCGTTCCGTTGTACCTAAAACTCTCGTCGCCACACAGAAATAACTCGCTCCCTCGACAAAAACATATCTCTTGTTCTATTTTAGAATAATGGCGTTGTATATGGGAATCGAATACTAACTCCCTCGAGTTCACATGAAAACCATTGCTTTTTCACCGCTAATTTGTTTTAGTCTGTCTTCTTTTTGCTCTTTCATTTGATCGATCTTACGTGAATCACCGCAACATCCAATTTCACTCGGATAATGCCCAACATAATGTCCTTTGTCGTTGTTGCTACAGTTAACACTCTCGATCCAACAAGACAGGCTTCATCTCTTCCAACAGCATAATCGAACGTGTTTTGGTGACTTCTCCTCCCGTTAAACTTCTCACAGTCCACTTTCTTCGTCTTTCAATCAGAGCACATTCCAAATCCTTCCAAAATTTCAATCTTCTCAACAGTTGTGTAGGATCAAACCTCCAAACAACTACCACTACAACCTTAGATCCCTAGACAAGATATGCGCTAGAGCCTCAAGCAACTTCAAGCCAACCTAGGCATGCAAGAAGCGCTTCTTGGCTGAAAGATTTCTTATAGTGGAAGAAAACATGTAATATGCTCCCTTCATAGACTATTCCATGCACAAAGCGGTGTCACACGACAATTTGCAGAACCCTGCCACAGTTGATCATTGGTGATAACACCTCACTGGGTCAGGTAGCTCCCATGTCACCATATTGCTTCTTGCATCGAGGGTTTCAATCTTCTATGCCTTACTACCGAGGAAGAGGTGGTAACCATACAACCCTTAGCAAACGATAAAAAGTACAAAAGGGGAAAAAGTTATGTTTGTTACCTTAGAAGGAGAGTGATCCACGATGTACCCATGAATCTAACCACTAAAGCACCACAGGGAGCGTTCAAATAGTAAATGAGAAAAAATTGTAATGATATATGAAATAAAAAGCAAGAAGAATGACGAGAAGATCTTTAAACCTCACAAATATTAGAAGTGAAAAGAAGAGAGAAGATGTCCATAAGATCTTTATATATCGTGTGACCGACCACTAAACGATCAACATTATAAGACATAGAGAAGTGTGTCCATGTCATCAATGTCTTTGATCAAACCTCGATATACTTAGATACTCGATTACCTTAAAACAGTCACTTTCGCGGTCAAACATAAGGTCATGTGCCTAGTTCGATATGTGAAACATTGTGGTTGACAAACATTTATTTATGTGTATTTCCAAGTCCACATGCTCCAACTCAACAAACGTTTCCTCTCCCGTAGGCTAATGGTTAGTCTAGGAAGAATGTGACGACATCAGAGGGCAGTCTTGTAACATCAATTCTCACTTCACGAACTACCAACAAAAACTTGGAGGACATTGTTCTCGGACGCCCACAAGTCCAAAGAGGAAGGTCCAACTATAAGGCTTAATTATAAATATCCATTGAGCAAAAAGTAATAGGTGAGACCTTGTCGGTAATTAAACACTTGATCAAAGCCAGTGTATTATTTGTCGTCATATTTGATAGGATCATCCCCCACATCTCACGTCGGGAAACACAAAAACCATTTTAATATAAACTCAAAGACATGTCATTTATGATATTTCTGAAACTTCATTGATTTAGACATTAAAATATTAATCTTGCAGGTACTCTCTATTTCGTTGTATTGAAAACTCTCGGTGTTACACAGGAAGAGCCCATCCTCTCATCATAATATATTTCTTGTTTCACTAAAAAATAAATAGTATTATCTAATAATTTAATATTAAGATTGATCAAAATTCTACAATTACTTATCAAAGAACTATGTCAAGAGTTTTCTCAAAGATAAATTTGATGTTGATATTTATATTTTGTTACAACTATCTTACCATCTTTAATATACTAAAAAAACAAATTGATTAATTAATACAACTAATATATTATATAGTAAAAATTAGTATCCCAATTTTTTTCAAAAGAAAATTAGTGTCACAATTTGACTATACAAACGTCAACGATTTTGTTATCAATTACAATGGCTATACATTGCGTCTCTTTATCTACAACCTTGAAATACATTAGAGAATTTCTTTGTATCCCTA